GGACGGAGCTACAGCCCATACTACTCGAAATTCAATGACGAAACTGCGACAGATGTTTCCTGGGCGCCTCGTCTCTCTGAGAGGTGATGTGGTGTGGCCTGCGCGCTCACCTGATTTGAGCATTTGCGACTTCTTCCTGTGGGGTTACTTAAAGGGAAAAGTTTTTCAACATCGGCTCAAGGAAATCGCCGCCATACCCATCGAAATGTGCCAAAATGCAGTTGAAACTTTTAGAAATCGACTACATCTGCTGGGGACTACAAACTTTCTAAATAAAATTGCATGATGTACTGAATAAAATAAAAAAACCGCAATGCTGCAAGTTGCTCCGTTTTTTTTTAAAGCCCTTTTAAATTGCACTACATTTTTTGTACTTTAAAGAGTAAAAGTTTCAAATTATAAATGTGTTACAAGCACTTGACTATATAATCCATAATTCAATTTTATAGAAAGAGAAGAACAAACATTTTGTTCCTAGGTATTTCGTTAATATGAATCTTGATGACAGACTTTGTAAACACCGGGTAGCTATTGCTAAGTTTATGGTTGTAAAAAACAAATATAATGACTTTAAAAGATCCAAAACAAGAACAATATTAATATTACATTGCAATTGGCCAGGAAATGAAAGAAGGAACAGATTAAAGAATAATTTAACAATTACCACATTTTTATTTATAATTAATAATTTAAGCAAAAAGGCAGTTTTAACAAATTGACAATTTGTGCTAGTAAATCGGATTTAAGAATCATGAATTATAGTTATATTTTAAGTGATGAAAGTGATCAAAATATAATTGACAAAACTTGTTTTGGTAATATAACATGCAATTGGATATTGTTGATGAAATTTAACTTTAAATTGTAATATACAATGCCTATCCAAGTTTGGCATATCTCTTGTTCATTCAGTGGTACATCATCATCCAGTAAATGAATATAACCGGTTATTACATAATTTTACAATATTTTAAAGGTAGATTTTTATTTTTAACTGTGCTTTTTTAGATGTCTTTTAAAAAAACTTATGACCGATTCCGATACACAGAAGAGCAACTGCGGTTGGCACTCAAAGTGAAGTGCTTTCTTAAAACGCGGCAGCCAAATGTATGGCATCCCGAAGGGTACACTGTACAGTAAAGTAGGAAATTAAGTTCCTATGAAAAGAAAGATAGGACCAAAACCTGTAATATCCAACGAAGAAGAAGATTGCTGGAAAACTAGATAATATTAAAGGCCAAACTTGGTTTCCTAATCCCAATCTACTGTTGTTCAAAAAGCAGTAAAGAAGGCTATAAAAATAATTGGCCTACTGTGCCGTTAAGTGCTGTTTGAACGTAATGATTTGCCATAAAAATACATTATCTTGATAAATTAACGATTACCTCTTTAAAACCTTAATTTAAAATATAAGTGTATGTAAATATCAATTTGGACATTGGCTGTTTTTATAAGAAGCGCATCAATTATCAATTTAACAATTTAAAAATCCACAATTAACTTTAATTCATATACATAAATATATATATAGGGTGGCCCAATGAAAATTAAACTCTGTTAGCAATTATTATAATTATTATTTATTATATTTAGATTTCCAAACAAAAAAACAAGGAAAAAACCACAAACCCGAACAAAAATTACCACCCGAACTAAAAAGGCAATGTCTAAAAAAAGAGAAAACAAAGATTTTCGTGATGTTGAAAAAGAAGTTCAACAAAACAAAACAGTAAAGATAGAACATAACCGGCTTAAGAAAGAATGCATGTTGACAAAAACAAAAAGCTTTCACGTAAAGTAAAAAAGAAACGGACAAAACAGCTAAAAATAAGTCCGACAAAACAAAACTGTTAAACAGGGACATAACCAGCTTCATAAAGAATACTTGTCCAAAAAAGGCAAGATAAAAATTTTCGTGAATGTCAAAAAGAAACGGACAAAACAGCTAAAAAACAAGTCCGACAAAACGAAACTGTCAAGCAGGAACATAACCTGCTTAACAAGGAATGCATGTCTAAAAATAGGCAAAAGTGAAACTTTCGTAAAGGTGAAAAGGAAACGGACAGAACAACTAAAAGAGAAGTCAGACAAATCAAAACAGTTAAGAAGGAACACAACCAACTTAACAAGGAATGCATCTCCAAAAAAGGCAAGACACAGAATTCAGAGAAATGAAAAAAAAAGGTATAAAGTAACATAAATTTCTATTAACGTAGACAAATTCGTAATCTACTCTTCTCGAAGTAGAGGCTGAAAGAATTTCGCAAAAACGCAAAAGCGAAAATTACAGAGAAAAGGAACGAGCCCACGACAAAGAAGCCAAACGGCACAAGAAAGTCGTAGAATTGACTGAAAGCCAAGCCATGCAGTTCCCGCCCCGAAATATGGCCCTAAATTCTGTGAAATACCTTGGCCACATGATTAAAGAAGGTCCCACGGGAGTATGCACATCGTATTATCAAAAACCCAAAACTGGACAAGATACGAACGGAACGTCCAGAATTATTCGAGAAAATTTTCAACTACCCGAATTCGAACCAGTTCTGTAAAACTTGCCTAGATTACCTTCGCAAAGACGAACACTCCAATTTTTGCGCGAGCGAATGCAAAATTATAATAATTTCTTTATTAACGCAAATAATAGCAGTAACAATATATTAGTTTACAGGTACATAAAAAAAGCAACCCCCGATAAAATAAATAACTCAAAATAAATATAAATTATGTAGTATAAATATAAATTATGTAGTATCACATCCGATTTAATTGGCGTCTAAAAGTACACATTGAAATGTCAAAAAAGTTACACTCAGACATCTCATTAACAGTCTTGCCTCAACGATACAAAGATCTGTCCATATTGGAGGAACGACTGGTGGCCCATAGAATCCCGTTTATGCAAATACGGGATTTCGGCCACAAAAAGCAGTGCTCCATAACAGGAAGCATTGTAAACGTACCGCTCGACACTTCATCCGTGGTATCAGTCTTTAAACGCAACCTTGACGATACACAAACCATTCAGGTTAAGCTAAAAAGGAGACAGGCGTACGATAGCCACTACATCCTGGAGACAGTACGACCAGCTATATAGTGGGTGCCTTGGAATTCCTTAAAACGCAGCCGTTGTACGCCAACGTCAACATAAACCCAGATTGGGCAAATAGACCCGAAAGGCAGTTGGCAACTTACACATTGAACACGACTTCTCCACGACCACAAACAACGATAACGTCGATTTTGATAAAACTTTTTACGATCTCTCAATTGTGGCACGTGTTAGAGCAACAGGTTGCGGGAATACCGCCAAACAAAACAAACTGATTAATCCAGGCGATCCAGGACGATCCAGGACGATCGTGACCTGCTGGCAAACATTGTTATGGCACCCGGGGAAAACCAAATTCCCAAGCTTGTCGAATGGGCCGAGAAAATGTCCTTTCCAACCATTTTTGCTGGAAACAAAAAAGCATTTAGTAACAAAATGCTCTACCACAACCAAGCAAAACTGCAGTCGGCAAATGCAGGTTGGAACGGCCCGATTTCTTGCTCTTCGTGTTCAAGAAAAAACAACTGCTGGTCACCAATTGGCCATAAGAAAACTGGATGACAGAAGCAGCAGAAGACACACGTTGCCGACGTGATGAATATCGACTACCTTAAGCAGCAGATGAAACAAGATCAGATTTGGGTTTTTTTTTGTATGAGTTCCATCGGCACCTGCTTACTGGGAACTGCAAAAGAACAAGCTGATGGCGATGCTGCGTCAATTTGGCGCGCTCAAGTTTTTCATCACGATCAGCGCCGCCGAATCCCTGTGGCCAGAATTACTGGTCATACTTAGTGGTGAGCCGCAAACACTTGAGCGAAACGGAAGCGCTGAACTTGAAATCAGAAGAAAAATGTCGTCTGATCCAAACCGATCCGATCCCATCACTTGTGCTCGGTATTTCGACAACAGTTAACTCAACTTAATCATTTATTTACATTTCAAAATTTTTTAACGTACATTTTTATCTTGCAGGTTCCATCTACTCCTGAACCAATTAAAATCCAAGTTCAGCATTTTCAAGCAACATCCGAGTGAAGTTCCATCAGCAAGGTAGTCCGCACGTACACATGTGTTGGCACGAAAACGCGCTGTCGGTCGAGCCAGGATTTACCAACGAACAAAAAAGATCGTGTGCGATTTTGTCGACCAATACGTAACTAACCGTTATCAAAAAGGCGACTATAATGTTAAAACGAAGACCGAAAGATGCCTTTGTCAACAACTTCAACAAGGACATCTTGGGTTTGCAGCGCTCCAACATGATCCTCGATGATCCAGGCCAAAAAATAGTGATTGGGACAATTTGGCTTCCCATTTCTCGCCTGATGTTATCAAATCGTGTGAAGAAAACAATATTTACCTCACCCCCCTCCACCTAACAGCACGCATCTAATGCAGCCACTGGATGTGGCCTAGGGTGGCCCATCTTTATATAGGTAGAAAAAGGTTTTTACCGCGCCACCCTGTGAAAATGTTCTTTTATATTAAAAATAAATCCACCAAAAATTCAACTTAATCCGACAAGAGGGACATGTGCCGCAAGTCGGTCAAAATAATGCGGGGAATATCGGTGTCAGAATGTTTTGTTACCTGTAATTAAAATATTTATTTCTAAATGGGTCACTTCTACCAAAGGGTGCAGGTCTAACCTCCGACGACCACCCGACTAAAGATCGACCAGTCATGTCGGAAACGCCCAGCAGACAGCAAGTGCTGGCCCAACGCTTCGCGGCCCGCACACCCAGTCGAGACCTACTAAAGGGTGCAGGTCTAACCTCCGACGACCACCCGACTGAAGATCGACCAGTCATGTCGGAAACGCCCAGCAGACAGAAGTGCTGGCCCAACGCCTCGCGGCCCGCACACCCAGTCGAGACCTCGGCGCATCTACCAAGCTGTAAAGCATAGTCAATGGATTTGTGTATTTCACGGAACCAACCCAATTAAGATGGAAGAGAAATCTGATATAAAAATTGATTCTAAAACCGAAACTACGGCGAAAGCCAAGGTTTCAAAGCCCGGAAAACGTAAAGGTAAAGGCGCCACTCAGCGTAGTACTGATGCTATGCGAGAGAGAAAGGGAAGGCCTATCCTTGACGCTTACAGAGCCGAACTTCGAAGAAAGTTACTAGGTGACGAGACAGGAGAACTTGAAATTGCACTAACAAATATGTCACTCACCGTACAGCCTCGCGCAACACCCAGTCGAGACCTACTAAAGGGTGCAGGTCTAACCTCCGACGACCACCCGACTGAAGATCGACCAGTCATGTCGGAAACGCCCAGCAGACAGCAAGTGCTGGCCCAACGCCTCGCGGCCCGCACACCCAGTCGAGACCTACCAAAGGGTGCATGTCTAACCTCCGACGACCAGCCGACTGAAGATCGACCAGTCATGTCGGAAACGCCCAGCAGACAGCAAGTGCTGGCCCAACGCCTCGCGGCCCGCACACACAGTCGAGACCTACCAAAGGGTGCAGGTCTAACCTCCGACGACCACCCGACTGAAGATCGACCAGTCATGTCGGAAACGCCCAGCAGACAGCAAGTGCTGGCCCAACGCCTCGCGGCCCGCACACACAGTCGAGACCTCGGCGCATCTACCAAGCTGTAAAGCATAGTCAATGGATTTGTGTATTTCACGGAACCAACCCAATTAAGATGGAAGAGAAATCTGATATAAAAATTGATTCTAAAACCGAAACTACGGCGAAAGCCAAGGTTTCAAAGCCCGGAAAACGTAAAGGTAAAGGCGCCACTCAGCGTAGTACTGATGCTATGCGAGAGAGAAAGGGAAGGCCTATCCTTGACGCTTACAGAGCCGAACTTCGAAGAAAGTTACTAGGTGACGAGACAGGAGAACTTGAAATTGCACTAACAAATATGTCACTCACCGTACAGCCTCGCGCAACACCCAGTCGAGACCTACTAAAGGGTGCAGGTCTAACCTCCGACGACCACCCGACTGAAGATCGACCAGTCATGTCGGAAGTGCCCAGCAGACAGCAAGTGCTGGCCCAACGCTTCGCGACCCGCACACCCAGTCGAGACCTACCAAAGGGTGCAGGTCCAACCTCCGACGACCACCCGACTGAAGATCGACCAGTCATGTCGGAAACGCCCAGCAGACAGCAAGTGCTGGCACTACGCCTAGCGGCCCGCACACCCAGTCGAGACCTACCAAAGGGTGCAGGTCTAACCTCCGACGACCAGCCGACTGAAGATCGACCAGTCATGTCGGAAACGCCCAGCAGACAGCAAGTGCTGGCCCAACGCCTCGCGGCCCGCACACCCAGTCGAGACCTACTAAAGGGTGCAGGTCTAACCTCCGACGACCAGCCGACTGAAGATCGACCAGTCATGTCGGAAACGCCCAGCAGACAGCAAGTGCTGGCCCAACGCCTCGCGGCCCGCACACACAGTCGAGACCTACCAAAGGGTGCAGGTCTAACCTCCGACGACCACCCGACTAAAGATCGACCAGTCATGTCGGAAACGCCCAGCAGACAGCAAGTGCTGGCCCAACGCCTCGCGGCCCGCACACATTTTATATAATTTGTGATTTAACTAACCAGTCTTGAATAGAAGTTGCTATTGTAAAGTCTCTTAAAATAAACCTACAAAATACAGTCCACATTTTTATTCATCATTTACATTAAGTGTTTAAAGTCTATAAGATCGCAGGACAAATTAATGTATAAAATTGTGTAAACCTTTCAAAATTTTGAACAAAAAGTGTAGTGTAGATGAGAGAACCCTTTGGTTGGAACATATTATTAAAAAATTAAGGGCATAGGAATTCTGCAGGTACGTAACATAATCTTAATTTCAGATTCCTGTAGATATTCTTTATTTCCCATTCGATTAATTTATTTAATAATGTGTTTTTTTTGGAGGTTAAAGTTGTGCAAGTGTACGCCAGTACCCTTTTCAAAGGGGGAGTAACGCTCTTGAAATGGTAAGACATCCCTGCAAAAGGTGCAGTTTCTCCTACGATAAGAGTTAAGTTATATAAAGTACACTGGCATGCGTTGATTACTTCCTTCTTTGGACATTCCACACATATTTTTTTTTTTTTAATTAATCCTAATCTTAATTTTTACCACACCCGCTGGGAAAGCAAAAAATTGCTCTAAAGGAACTTGGTAGTAAATTACCATGTTTACTAGCATCAGAACTGGTTTCAAATAAATCTAAATTATTTATAGGTAGTTTTTCGGGTTGTTGAATGTAACGCATTTTAAGAACTGAACTAAAATAGTTTTGTTAAGGAATATAAATAATAAAGTTTATTCAATTAATTCGACAACATGTAATTTTTGGTAATTTTTTAAGCACCTCGTTAGCTTTTTCACATAAAATGAAACCATACAACATGGACATGTATCTGGACCTTCATCCGAATTTGACCAGGGGCACGTCTCAAAATGTTTACCATACTGGTTATTTACAATATTAGCATTAAGATGCTGCTCCAAAAATTCTTTTTGACTAATACATTTTTTAATTTTTTCCTTTTTCAAAAATTCTCGATATATTTCACGTTGAGTAGGATATTTATTTTCAAATTTTTCTTCACCTTCTTTACCACATTTTTACAAATTTATCAATATTTTGGATTGCCATTTCAATTTCCTTTGCACTAATCATTATTACTACCTGATGATATTAAGACTGAATAATACTGAATGTTGTGAGATGGGGTGGCGTTATAATTCTTAAAAATGAAATTTATATTAAATTTAATAATAATAAATCCTTATCAATTACGCATATTAAATTTTCTAGAACTTTAGCGGTTTGGTAGCTGTAAACAGGATGTAATTTCCGTTTTAAATCAAGGAATCGTATTCGTTCATATAATACCACGTTATATAAATAGCAAACAATTCTTATAATAATTCATTTATTATTCAAAAGCAGATATGAATGTATTAGAGTGTATGGTATGCTGTCCATATGACAGCAGCCACAGAGTTCTTTTAAAGAGGTTACCGTACCATAAAATAAGATGCTTGGCGAATAACCCAGCGGCTAGGGCTGGGGCTTTAACCACCAATTGGAATAAGGTTGGGACGCAGACCTTTCCGGAGCCCAATCAACAAAATGAAGAAGTGTGGGAGCTCCCGGAGCACAATCAACAAAAAGAAGAAGTGTGGGAGCTTCCGGAGCCTAATCAACAAAAAGAAGAAGAGTGGGAGCTCCCGGAGGGTCCATACAGGAGCTATTTGGATCAACTCCCACCTTAAAAAATAAAGCCTAGGAAGAGAAAAAATAAAATGTTATGTTGATTAAAAAATTATAATTTTACAATTTTGTATTTACCCTTATATTAAACATTAAAATTATGGTTAAAACTCAAAGGTAACTTTAAAAAGTATAATATAAATACAAATAGTAATTATCAAGCCTCCAAAAATATTAATTGTAAGAAAAATGGAGCTAGCCCAAATAGACTTGTCTGAACAAGTCGGATGACGTCATAAATATTAAATTCATATATCCAATTTTGGTGCTTTCAATAAGAATGAATTTCAATAATTGCACAATCCCTTCCCTTTATAGTCGAACCCCGCAATTACATCTCACCACTGTGAATATATTAATTACAATTACAATTTTTAGGTTAATTTTGTGCGCCCCCGTAATATTTGGTACGAGCTTAATTTGTACGCTCCTGTAGTATACGTATAGTTCCAGCAGGTGGCGTCACATGCGGAAAAAATTCGAAGTATCGTGCAAGGTTGCGGCCGCCCAATGGGGCCTCTATGGAAGTGCGTCTCAACGTGTGAGAAAAACAACGCCAGTGTGGCGCCAGAATAAATTAAAATTTCGAAATATTGTGCAATTACTACACTTGAGAATCAACCGGGCAAGTGGCGCCACCACGAGTCATAATTTTGCATTTCCCAGTATTACTTTTACAATTGGTTGGCGGCCATTTTGAATTTCCCGCCCATCGTGTAACGCCAACGAGTCCACAGCCCAGCATGTGGCGCCACCATGCGGCCGAAATGTGAAGTAGTGAGCCAGAAGCCCCATAGCTACTCTACTTACATTGTTGCATATCATATTTTCTTGCGTGTTTTTTTTTCAATTTCTCATGAATTTTATTAAACACCGCCACTTTAATTTCTTAAATTAAAATGCATAGATGTGATTTAAATGTGCTGATTTTACTTTTGTATAATGTAACTTTTCTTGTTAACATGTGTCTAATGATAAAATTAAATGCTGACATGACAATTATTTTCATATAAAACCTTTTAAAATTATAATTTAATTTTATTTTACAAGAAACGTTTGTTCTTTTGTGTTTATATAATCAAAATTAATTAAAAAAAACTGTTTTTCACAAGTTTCATTACGATGTGGTGTATCATAAAAATGGTTAATTTGGCACCAATAGACCCATCAGAATATAAAACTAATTCATCCAGACGATGTGGTGGAGGTGGTGGCAGCTTGCAGATGGTTGTAAATTGTGATGAAAAAATTACTTTTTGCAATAAGGAAAACCATAGGCTAACTTTGGAAAATCAGGAAATGCGAAAAGAAATTGATGAATTAGAAAATAATTTAAATAGAGAGAACGAAAAATGCAAATTGACTGTGGAAATTATGGAAGAACAATATATAGAAGAGTGTAATGGGCAAGTGTTGATTGCGAAGGATTTAGTTAAGGAGTGTTATGTTAAAGTGAAAGGACTCGAGGAAGAAAATGTTAAAATAAGTATGTTAAAATTAGATTTACAAAGTAATTTAGAAATAATTAAAAATTTAAACCAAACAATAAAAGATTTGCAATGGGAAAATATAAAATTAAATAATTTATATAAAATTATTATACACTGATACAGATAGTTTAATTTATGAATTTACCAATTTAAATATTTATGATATTATTAAAAAATTTCCATGCAAATTTGATACCTCCGATTTTTCGCACGATAACAAGCATGGAATATTGCAATTAAATAAAAAAGAACTTAGATTATGGAAAGATGAAAACCAAGGAAGAATAATGACTGAATTTGTTGGACTTAGAGCTAAAATGTATGCTTATAAAGTTGAACATGATAAAATTACAAAAAAAGTAAAAGGAGTTCGAAGACCTGTTGTTAAAAGAATTACATTCAACGATTTTATAGAATGTCTTCAAAATTGTACCAATTTAATTAAAAGTCAAAATTTAATTATTTCAAGAAATCATCAAGTATTTACTAAAAAACAAAAAAAACTTGCATTATCATATGACGATGATAAACGAGTAATTAAAATGGAAACAACCGACACAGTACCTTGGGGATACATCGAACAAAAATGAGAAAATATTCGAGTTGAAACTCGTTCAAGATTAACAGATTCGTAGTAGGTAGTTGGCCGCGAGTCATTGAGATAGGTCAGTAACTTAAAGTCTATTGTTCAAGAACATTGACTTATGCAATGAATTTAAATCAGTACAAATTATCTCGCGATATATTTTTACAGCAAACAGAAACGTATGGTAAATATTTAAAATGATATATTTCCAGTTTAAATTTAATGAAAGTTAATTATATTTTACAAAAAATATTCGTACCAGATAATATTTTGCAATATAAAATATTAAAA